TCTTCCACAAACAGACCAAAAAAATGCATATTGTTCCACCCCACAAGATCTTGTGAAACTACTTTTCCAACCACTACAAGTGTTTTATTAGCTCCACTTCTTCCAACATTTTTGTAAAATCAAATTACAACACTGAACTACTTTTCACACAAATGCCATGAACTAAAGCTATGAATGACCAAATAATACATAGCTTCCTTTTCTGCAAGCCTGAACCTCTCCATCATGTGTTATTAATAGCTAACATGCAAGTAAGTTGTGTCATCTGCACACATCTGTTTTTTACAGATAAATATTGAACAAAAGTTCAGTTGAAAACCAGTTGAGGAAGACAACAATCAAGGACTACTCTGGGGCAACTGAAATTAAGGTCAGATTCATAAATCAGTAAGGGGCAGAGAACAAAAAAAAAAAAAAAACAAAAACAACACCCAAACCAAAAAACCCCAAACCCATTCCCACTTTAAAAAAAAGGCATAGAACAGTCATCCGAGAAGTGGCCACAGTGCCTGACTCCCCTACCCACAGCAACACAACACAGACTGACAAAGCAATTGGTGCACAAACTAAACCAAAGGCTAATCTGTCCTTCCCCCAATAGAGAAAAAAAAGAAGGTATTTGTATCTACATTTAAAAATACACTGATACATTAAAAACAAAGGTAAATGAACACTCTGATTTCAGAAAAGCTTGCCTATTCATCAAGTAAAAAAAACCAAACCACAACACACACACAAATCAATATTAAATCATCTATTGATACTTTTGCCCTCACTACTGAAAATGAGGAAAAAAACTTAGGAAAAAAGTGAACTGCTTTATCTACTTCTTACGTAAAAACCCAAGAGCCCAGGATCTACTCAAAGTTAAGGATAATTTCAGCAACTGCCACAAGCTACATCTTTTAACTCAAATTTCTCCTAACAACCAAAATCATCTAAGGAATAATAGATATTGGTCTTCTGCACAGGACTCATCTACACAATGAATTAACTGTAGACATTTGATCCTTTTGCTAACAATCTTCTGAACGTTCTTGTTCCAGAATTAGGAGTACATTGTTCCAATCTAACTTAATCCACTTAATCCATTTGGAGTGAGACACACTTGTACCATCAAAGCTAGATGGAATCGAGATACTTAATTCTGAAATTGCAATCTAAGACCGAGTCATCTGGGTTTAGATTATAGCTTCCTTCATTGTTTGAATGGATAATTCCCTGGGTGTTTGAAGATGCCTAGTTTTCCTAGTCTGAAGAAACAAATCTCTTGCATTCACCAAATTAAGAGCCAAAAATTTGCCATCCCTCTGCTTAAATTCTCTAAGGTCAATCTGACATACACACAAAGTGCATCTATTACACTGACAGGACTTAAGAGTTCTTCATAAAACCCAAGCTTTCTTTATAAAAACAAGTTTTATAAATTGAGCATGCTAGTTTATGTGGCCAGCAAGCAGGAAAAGGCAGAAAGAGGAAGCAAAGTGTAGGTTGCTTCTGTAGCTTACTTGTCAGTGGACTTCAAGGAGGGGGGGCAAAGTCCAGACTTATGGTGAACCTCAGATGATTTCTAAAATCTGATTTATTGGGTAGCAGGAACTGTAGGCAGTAGCTCAGCACAAGCACACTTAAAGCAGAGAGCAATTAAAGAGGAAGTCCAGCTCTCTATCACACCCTCTCATGCTCCTGTCTTCCCAAACCAGGACTCCACATCCATACTTTGTCTTTATTCTCCACCCCAAAAATTAGAGCCCAGCCCACTGACCTCCATTCTCATAAGGTGATTAGTGGAAACTGCATGTGAGGAGGTACCCGAACAGAAGCGTAAGCGTCTCCATAGAGACAGTTACCCATTGTGAGTGACTGCTTGTATATGGGACTTCATTTGGTGGTTTGTATCATCACCTCCACATAGAAAATTACTTTCAACATACCACCCACAAGCAGTTTCTTTGATTGCCACCAAACTCTATCATACATAATAAACATAGTTTACTTGCAGGAGTCAACACTCAAATGTTTTGACAAACCTGTTGATCACTAGAGTTGTACGTGCTCAGTACACATTTAAGAAGTATCGCTATAAAAGCTGGGAATCATCACATCTCCTCCATTTATGTACTGTTATTTAGAAACCAGGTGGAGGGGTCACTACATAAATTCAGGAAATTAGACCACTGGTCTAGGCATATTTCACTGGAGCTTTGAAGTTTCAAGGACAGGCAGGAGTTTCAAAAACTGTGTCTCCTCACATACCAAATAAGCTACAAGACACCCAACACAGTGCTTTAGATTAGGCACCACAATTTGGTAACCTGAACTTTTGTCATTAAGGCTCCTCGATACTAAGCACTCAAGTAAATTACCGGATCTAACCCGGAGAGTCATACAAAATCAATATAAAAAGAAGGTCAGGAATAAGTATGATGCTTTAAGTTTATAACCTGCCTTATTTCAGGCAAACTGAGTTACAGAGCTACTGTAATCTGCAAATTATCATTTCTGTTCTAGCAATACTGTGTATTAATTTAGTTTGCATGTCTTCTAAACTAAAGCAGTTTCAGAAAAGCTATTTACGTCAAGATTTATACTACCTGAAAAAAGAGTGAAAAAGGCTTACGAAGGACACAGTTCATTTTGGTCAATACAGAATATAATGGTAAGAGCTATTTTTGAGTAACAACTCTGCAGGTGCACTTACCTCACAATGACTGAGAGGTAAGTCATTACCTCTCAATAACTTTGAGAGTTATTCTACAAATCAGCAAGCCCTAGAGATATGATATTATTGCTCTCCATTTGTGAATCTGAATTTAAAAATATTTTTTACAGATTGGGATCACCAAATGGAATTCTAACATTTCAACTTCTGATTTGAAAGTTGGTGTAAATACTAGCTAACAGTTACATTCTCCCTTAGTTTTGTAACTTAAAAAATTCAAACATCTCCAGTATTTTAGTTTTGACACTAATAGCTACACTTACATGTAATAATGGTCATGAAGTAGACTTTTTTTAAAGACTTACAAGGCTTCTCTTAAAACTTTAGTTTTAACAGCCTAAGTAGAACAAGAAGATGTATTATTTATAATATATGATTACTCTAAGGCAAAGAAACCTACGATTATTTTCTGAGACAGATAACAGAAGAAATTAACTGTACTGTTTTAAGTGAGCTTTCTGTAATATAGTTTTTTGTCATACAGACAATTTAAAGTTCCCTTTCAGATGATAAGCAGTTTACAAATACAACTCTAAAAGAAGTCTTTGCTCTTTAGTTAATACCTTTACCTGAATCTTCCTATTTTGATGTAAATTAGTCACTACCACCAGACTAAGGGAAGAGATAAAGCCAAGAAACATCCCGTGAAATAAATTGCTTTTTTGCTACTAAAAAATAGCAACATTTTTGTGTTTCACTTCAACATAAACAAGGCAATCCTGAATACTGCAGTACTACAACAGCAGTACCCCTGAGATTATCTAGTTTTATCACCTCTGAGTTACTTGAGGGAAGCCAGTGGAAATGCCATAACAGTAAATTGTTGATTAGCTCACGCTAATCCCTGATGTAGCATGGCAACCATGACACAAAATTTGCTTCATATTATTGGTGAAGAGCTATTACTGAAACTATTCACAACTACAGACCCTTTATACTTGCACCTGAGAGACACAGTTATCAAGTAGAGATTACAATTGCACTTCTTTTGATTTAGTTAATTAGTATAGAATGAAGATTTGACTACAAGATACAGCTTAAAAATAAAATTACTGCTGTAACACATGAATGAGCAGGACAAAAAGCATGCGCATGTACACAAACACAGAGAGGTTTAGTAACTACGAGAAATAGGAAACAGGATTATATTGAGATTTCTGCCATGCTGTTACCTCCTCCCTGACCTCTAAACTAGGTTCTATTTTAACCTCATCTATAAGAATGCCTGACAGCTGAAAACTACTTCTAATCTCATTTGCTACTTTCATCTTTCATTGGTACTTACTTCTCTTCATTCGAGGTTGTTCACTATTCTTTACAATCTTACTACAATTATTTAATAGATAAGTATAGAGCTAAAGGGCACTAAAAATAGTGTTTCCAGAAGTTCTATTATTGGTTTTTAGCTAAGATTATCTTCTTTGGCCTTGTATTTAACTCTCAGTATTTTTTGACTGAACCCAAATAGGGTTTTTTAGGATTTCCACACACTATTGAAATACAGCCATCCTTTCCTTATCCGTAAGTGGATTAGTTGGTTGGAGCTTACACGGTGTAGCTGCCTGCAGTGCTGTTCCCTGCACGTGTGAGGCACGCACTTGCATCAAAACCTGTCTTTCACTATAGCATGCCTCCTTTCTAAACAAGGCTTTTGAGTATAGCTTCCGAAGATCCATGAACCATATATAACCTTACAGTTTAAGCCTCCATGCCCTGCATTTTTCATGTTTTCTCACCTTATCCCTCCATTATTCCAGGTAAATAAGAGATGATTGTAAACAGGATCTGTCTTTCTGCACACATCAGACAAAAGTCCAAACTCCTAGACGAGGTTAAATAGTTGGTTTCTATTTGGTCCGTAACAGTAAAGCATTTGTAAAGTGAAAAGTAGTAATATCTGATCTACTTGTATCCACTGGTTTTCAATCAGTGTTCATGCAGTGGTAACCATCTGAAGCCAACCAATAAAAAACTTTTTCCTGTCTTCAGAATAGCCTTGAAGCATCATCACATCAAAACTGACAGTCTCACATCTGCCTCAACTACCTATTTGCAATATAGTTTTGCAGTGTTTTAAGTAATTAGATTTCTTTTTAAAGAGTAAAACAGCAACTTTATTTCACCTATTTTCTAGTGCATTTAAAAATAATAATAAAACATTCAGAAAGGTTGGAAGAAAATCCGTCTCTGCTTATACAGTCATTGTAAGGTTCTGTGGCTAACCACAGTTCTCACCTAGTGGAATTTTAGCACTGTAGAGTCCAAACATTTGACTGTTTCATGTTACATTGGTTTTCAGTTCTGGTGTATGCTTTAAACTTCCCACTTCCTTCTTCAGGACATTAAGCAAAGTTCTAGAACTATCCAAAATCTTCATATAAGCAGCTTCAGTTTCAGCAAGAATTTTATCGAGCTCATTCCGTGAAGCTACTTTTTGGGCCAGGTTTTCACATACACACTCCAGTTGTTCATTGAGGACTTGTATTTCATGCTGGAGTTTATTTTTCTCCTCTTCTGCTTGCTGGATTTGTTTGTTTAGCTCTTCTTTTTGCATACACAAGTCTTCAATGCATTTCACTAGCTCATTATTGTAACACTGAAGAACAGCTCCCTGCTGAGTCATCCTTCACTCCTCTCCCTGAGCTCTGCCACTACTCCCTCAAGTCCCCTCTCAGCAACAGCCTTCTGCACTCTAAAAAAAAAAAAAAGACAACAAAAACACATAAAGAAAATTTCTGTAAGTTATCATGAAAAATGGTAAGCTAGTACAGGCACAACCAGAGGGAAAGACGCTCTGTTTAAGGCTAACATGCTAGTTCCGAGCTGTGCCACATCTCTTCCCTTTTCAGGGACAGGGCAGGACAAAATTGGGCATCTACGCTGCACCTTTACTGAAAGCTGCTCTCTCCTATGATACCCTCATAGCAATGCTCAATTCTGGTATCAAAAAATTTCTACTATATTTTATAATATCTTAATACTAATCTGAATAGATGATACTTTGTACCTCAGACTTCGAGGGCTTGATCAGAAATAACCACAGGACCCTTTCCCAGGAGAAGGCTTAGCAGTCACCACCAGCAGCGGCATCCGCGTG